GCACCTTCTGTAGGGATTTTACGTCAAAAGCAAGGAAGTGGACCCATTTCTCCACCAGGTTGGGTCAGTCGATTGACACCCAGGCTTGGGATCCATAGTTCCCATGGTGCTTCCTTAGGGATCGTGTGTCACAATTTTCAGGTCATGCCACCAAAGGGTGGCCGCTCTTTAAAATGGAAAGAAGGTTCTTCTCGCATCGCCATGTGTGATTTAAATGAAAACTTGGGTAACGATGCTTGCCCATGGCTGCCCTGAAGGCTCACTAATAACATTTGGCAGACGATCCGCCACTAGGTGGTACTTCTGGTGGCATGCTGTAAATCACTGTGCGGAAGAACCGCGTAATGAGTTACATGAAGATATGAAATCGTCCAGGGTACGTGTAGCACCTGGTCCCTGTAGCCTCAACATACCAAAAATCCGGTGTTTGTTAGCGCCCCCCTACAGGGCTTTTAAAAAAATTCCTAGGCGAATTTTCGGCATCTGTTTCAAAAGTTGTCAGTACGCAGGTCCAAAGTATGTGGCCTGATTAAAAGTTGTGCTATTTTGGTTGTCACTTCGTTGAAAGGGCGTTGTCGCGGGTGGCGTGCCGGGTCAGATTTTGGCCAGGTTTGAAGTCGGCAATCTCACAACTGTGCGCGGGATGCCATTTCCGTCGCCATTTATGGGGCTTCTGTGTTGTAAGCAAACTCCATGCCTACAGATTTTATCAGATTGACTTCAAAGTGCGATCACTACAAGTCGTGTAAGAGAACAATTGGGGTTGGATCAAAAGTCGTTCCTATTTGCTTGACTGTAGCGTTTAACCGGCGTGCCCGTGACGACGTGTCAAATTCCGCCGATTGGGCCATAAAACAGTTAGTACTCCTATATTCATCCTACAGTCCGCAACCCCTGAACACCGTCCCTCACAACTTCAAGTGTACGTTGGTCCATCTAAGAAAGCTTTCAACACGTTTGATAAGAGTCCGCCCCCTGCAAACAGTCTACATGACAATATTCAGATATAGTGACTAGCACCACCTACTGCAACAGGAGTAACGCAACCTGCTGGCGCAACCTCTTGATCCATCTGATTTACGTGAAATTTTCAGCACGCCCCGAGTTGCGCGGAGTGCGAGGTCCCGCCCAACGCTGCTTGCAGCTTTAATCTCTTATTGTCCCTCATATTTTTTTTGATGCCAGAATACTTTTTTTAATATGCCCCTCAAACCATAAAGTAAATACACTTCAGCTACTGACACTGCTCGTTCTGCATCCAGCTGCTGGTTAGCTTAGCATAAAGACTGGAAATGGGGGAAACTACCAGCCTGCCTTCATCTTAAGGTAACAAAATCCACCGCCACAGCAGTACAAAAACGCATGCTGTGACTTCACAGGGCCTCTGCTGGTTGCCTGGCAACCTCACAGCAATAACAGGACTCCAGGAAGTTACTGCATTCAGCCCAGAAATAGTCAAACACTTTCAACTTGCAAATTAGTTTTTTGTGTTGATCTAAACAAATGAGATATAACGTGTTATTTAGTGAGCGCTAGAGGTGCTGGTAGGTGGATTGTGTTAGCTTTGGCCAGAGCCGGGCTAGTCATTTACCTCGTTTCCAGTCTTTATGCTAAGCTAAGCTAACCAGCTGTAGCTTCATATTTACCCATTCCATGTACACTCAAAAAACTAATTATGAATGAGGTGTATTCTTTTGTTTTCTTTATCTAAAATATGTTTATTGGTGGGACAGAAATCCTCAGTATTTTTTCCTCTTTAACCGTCTCTTTCTCCATTCCAGGACATAAATGAGATGGTGCACACAGAGAGACCGGACTGGCAAAGCGTCATGACTTATGTCACAGCCATCTACAAGTACTTTGAGACCTGACTTCATCATCTCACCCACCCTGCTCCTGCAGCACAATCAGAGCCACGCCAGCCCTCCAGAGCTCTCAGCAACCTCTCAACCCCACGGTCAACTGTTATACCTCACTAACCCCGCTCCCGCACACCCCAGCAACACGCAATCATGCTGCATGTCTGTCCTCAGTATTTAGCAACACTAAAGGCAGACCAGAACCTCACTGGACACGCAGCTACTCCATACTCCCAGCGCAGCATGGAATGCGCTTTGTGTAGAGTTGTAGTCCAAGGGCTTACCTGTATGTCTACTGTTACACTAGTAAGCCATGAGAAGTAACACTGGTGAAAGCCTGGTGAACCAAGTATGAACTGAGCAGCCATCAAATCCAAATCCAATTCACGTCTGAAGGAGCAGCATGATAAAGAAACCAAGTCTCAGTGCCTTCTACCTGGCTTTTACTGGCAAATAATATTTCCGTTAAGTTAACAGTTAACCCAGTTTTCAGGTTGTTAATGGGGAATTCCTGCAAATCTGACTTTAAGCGAGCTACTTTGCAAGCTCATTTTCCTAAATAGTCACAATGTGTTTCTCTTTTGTTGGCTTTGAATATTTTGTGGAAAACATCAGCTTCTGCAGAATAACAAATCAAACGGAAGTGATGTTGGAATTCCCCCACAACCCCCCTCTGAGGGAATTCAGGCAGACGCAGCCTTTTTGCACCAAGTCTTCCAGACATTACACTACGATACAGATGCCTCAATTTCAATGGATAAAGTGCCTGTGAGTTTGGATGCAGGAGACCAGGATATGAGCTCTCTCTATGGTGTCTTTTCACTACAGATTTGAGGAGTTGTTGCCAAATATGTTTCAGAGCCTTTTGATGTTGATTTCTGGCTTATTGGTCATCAGGACGGACCGATGCTGCAGACAGCTACTACATCAGTATCTGAACGCAAGGGACTGTTTGCTTTTCAAGCGCAGAAATATGCTATCTTCTACAACTCCACATTTCCGCTACTCCACATTTTGTTAAGCAACACACTTACGATGGTTTTTCATGAAGGTGGACTAATATCAGTTTGATGTGTATGGAGTTGAATGCTAAACCGTATAATGTGAGTGTTTGCATTTTGTAGGCCTGCATTTGCTGTCTTGCACTTAGACTTCTTTCATTAGGCACATAGAGCACACAGCATTGTTTCATAATAACCAAAACCATAAGCGAGTAGCATCCAGTTTTTTGATAAAATACGTTTTGATTGACATGTAAGTGTTTGAATCAGAGAGCCTTAAACTTTCTCAGCCTGGGAATTAGAAAAATAGCGTCTCACCCAGCGACTTCTTGTTGAGGAAATATGCTGTAGTTTTTGGAAACCAGCAGAGAAATATTCATAGGTGAAGACACACTTTTGTTAGTCGATTCAGCTTCTCATTGAAAGACAAGTTCATCTTATTGGGAAATACTCTTACTTTCTTGCAGTGAGTTGGATTAGAAGATTGATACCACTCTCATGCCTGTACTGTGAATATGAAGCTAAAACCAGGAGCTCAGCTTAGCTTAGCATAAGGACTGGAATCGGGCACACAGCTATCCTGACTCTGCCCAAAGGTAACAAAGTCCACCTAGTACTGCCAGGTAGACCGATTTGGTAGACATATTTGTTACTTTACTTTCGAATAGAGCCAGGCTAGTTGTGGCCCTCCGATTCCAGTCTTCATGCTAAGCTAAGCTCATCACCTGCATGTCCTAATTTACTGCACAGCCTTATCGATCTTCTCATCTAACCCTCGACATGAAAGCTAATAAGTGTACTTCCCATAGTGTCAAACTATTCCTTTAACATCAACTAATGTTGCAAAACTATTTATTTTGCACATAAATGAAAAAGTATGAACAAGTGATCGGACAATTCATTGTGCCATTGACTTTCTTTTGTGTGTTAATACTGATGCTGTGTTTGACAGGTAGTTTTTGACATTCCTAGTATGACTAACTATTACTAATAGAGATACTTTGTAGCACACAATGTCATTTAGGTTGTTCGATTTCAGTCCGTGGGCAACACTTTAAGTCTCTCATTTAGTATTTATAAACAGTATTTAGACATTTAATAAATGGTTTATAGCACACTAGAATGACATCTAAAGTGTTTATTAATGTGTAATATTTGTCAGCAATTATAACTTCTCCTATGAGGACTTATTTTATGTTATTACAACAGTGTTTTACTTGCCATTCATTATCTGTTTATACGGCAGTCTCTACTTACGGAGGAAGAGTTACAGTTGTTGACAAATCCATTAATAATCACTGCTTAACACTACATTATAGTGTGTTATAAACCACTTACTAAAGGTGTATGTAGTGCTTGTAAATGCTAAATAGGGCTGTTGCCATATAATGCTGTGTGAGTGCCGTGTGTTTATCGTGCCTCAACAAGTTCACTGTATTTATTTGCATGGTTTCCAGTCATTGTAGTGAGGTTATTGCTTTATGTGTGTGTCTGAAGTGTATATGAATTTACTACACATACAGTAAGTAGCTGCACTGAGATTGTTGTGTTCCAAACTAATTTCCTGCCTTAACAGTTTAGCCGAGGCTTCAGCAAGTGAAACTGTGACATTTCAAACCGCGGTTATCTTTCCTCACCAGGCACGTGTCTTCTTCTTGTTCGTGCCTCTTGAGGAACACTAATAGTGAGTGATGGGTCATGAACCATTTTGGGAAACTGGTTGAATCCCCACCTGTGTCTGGTGAAGGTGACTACACGCTGTTTTGATTTGGATCAGACGAGGCTGCCAGCTGGTATCAATAGCAACATCAGGAGCAACATTTTTGTCCCGATTTAGAAGCACATCCTGCCGTGCCATTTGCCAAGACACATCACCACAGTGTGTACAGCTGCATTAGACATTTAGTGATACAAAGTTAGCACAAGAGCCTGCAGCAGTGAACGTTTTTTGTGTACGAGAGTGCGAGTGAGTTATTTAATGCTGTGTGAAAGCACTGGCTCTCTGTTGATAGGGTTTTGTGATGCCATGATGCTGAGGATTATCAGCCAACAGTTTTATTGTGTTCTGCTTGATTCCACCGCTGGCCCACGTCTTTTATCGTTCCCGACAGGAACACTGAGAGCTACAGAGAGATTTGAAGCCTCTCCATCGTGGATGTGGAATGTGTTTTGATCACGCTTTAGTGATCCTGGGACTTTACGAGGTCCAGCGCATGCTGATGTGGAGTGATTGATGAACACTGAGCCCGGCCCTGCTGAGGAGAAACCAGACGGCTGGCAAAAGCTAGGAAGCACATTCCACCTCCACATGATGCAGACATGAGGGACATGTTACACTGTTTGGGACCTGAGACGATGCCCTTTAAGTGTAAAGCTTTACCACAGCGAGCAAAGCAAATGTGAACAGTGCATTGTGTCTTTATTGGGTCCACTTCTTCACTCTACATTTTGTTTTTATTTACTTGAAGATGCTCTGAGAATTCCACTGAACCTGCTTTAGTTTGTCTTTTTGTTTCCATGTTGCC